CTCATATAGAAACTGAGCTAAACAATGCCTAGTCCCTCAAAGTAACAAGTGGAGCAAATTAATTTAGCCCCGGCCATATTGAGTTATAATGCTAAAAGAAAACACGGATAGCGCGAAGAGACCTTTTATTTTGAATCTTTCTTTAGGTGCCAGTAAGTTATGAAAATGAATTTAGATCCAGCTTGTGAATTTATAGTATTTCTCGGCTAAACGAAACGTTATTTCAATTTGGCTTTCATGTTTTTGGGCATTTTCATGAAATTAGTTTCAGTACACTCATTAGGCCTAATTTACGCACAATACAACCATACACTAGTTCCGGCCCACTAGCGAGTCTCATTCGCCAAGTGCTTTCTCATTTTACCTCCCAATGTTTGATAGGAGGTCCTCAAGCAAAACCAAAATATATTCACTAATGTGTACATATCACATATACAAGATGCATACATTTAAGATGTTTATAGTTCCATAGTATTTGTGGGCCGATCAGTTAAATTTAGTTTGTATCCAAAATCTTTGTGACAAATTTCAGTTTCCTAGTGACGAAATAAAACCACATAATCTTTTTGGAGTCTTGTCAGGACCTTAATGGCCCTGTCGTTTGAGAAATTTCATAACTTTCAGGCCTCTAAGGCCATGTTCATGGAGTCACAAAAGATCACTTTAGATAACCCTTGTTTAAAAAAGAATCTAAATAACACAGAAAAATAAAAAAGGCTCTTGCAACAATTAATGTAAAATCTTTACCTTTACGAGAAGTCTCCAGACTCCACTTGGTAGCAGCCATTTTTTCTGAGATTTGTGAGATTGCAATAGCTCGTACATTCTTAAAAAGTTAGCCGCTTGGGGCCACTCAAGAATGTCTGTCTGATTTTCAATGAGGCGGTGAAGCAAAGTAGTATTTAAGGAGCTCGAAGGAGTTGGCATCACAAACAAACCTACAGTTTTTTCCGAAAGCCTAACCCCATTGTCAGCTTTTGTACTTATGGGCAGCTTCATTCTAACTCGTTTGCAAAGTGCTTGGTCAAGTTTGATGACATTTGCCGAGGATCTTTTCAGAAGCGCCTCTGCCTGACTACAAGATGGTGCACATGCCATCTTAGATATTGAAGCATAGGAAGAAGTTGTTCGTTGATAGGTTAGAATGCTGTGTGGTCTCCATATGACTTGAAGTAGAGCCAAACAGGATCCTGGGAGGGAAGAGAAATCTCCTTCTTCAGGTCTCATCCGAAGGGTCCCTTTTGAGTCAGATAACTGAAAATGTAAACACAAAAATTAACGTATTTAGCTAATAAGCATCGACCAGTCTATCCGAATATACCTCGATTGATCAAGCATTCAATCAAATAATTTATATTAATGTATATATGTATATTCTCGATTTATGAATGTAGTGCACATATGTTTTTATATTTAAATAATGCATATTTGGATGTACGTAGATATGCATACATATATGTTTATATGTATGAATTTATATACACACAAATATATGTACGAATATTTATTTGTGTATGCATGATTCTGTATGTGCATGGGTAGCTATGAAGCCACGTGTATGTACATTTCTATCTGTCTGTTCGTAGGCAGATATCTACTTATTTGTGTATATATCTATGGATATATTTATCTATATATCTGCCCATCTTTGCATTAACACTCAGTAATGTTAGAGGTCGTTTCTTGATCAAAATTGGACCTAAATAAAACTGTTGGGCAGCCCTTTGGAGTGAGATCAACGGTGTTGTCCAGGTTTCATAAGACTACGATAGATAGAAGGTTTTTGAGCTAGTTTCCTAGATGGATGATGATGACCCTTCTTCAAATATCTGCGTAATTAAATTGATCTTATTTTAAACGTTAATATGCCTGAAAAACATGCTAGGTCTCTGAAAATGTCATAAATGGAAGCTTATAGAGAAATTAGCAAGTTTCAAAGAAGTAGGCTGAACTCGTTTTCACAACTTGGTCTTGTTGTCAGGGCGACTTAGTTGAACGCACCTTTTCCGAAGTCATCTGCCATAGTAGTTATCATAATTACTCAGCCTCAGACAATGGGTTTGGTAAATTCTCAGATTGGTTGAAAATGTCCCAAGTCCACGGTATTATGCTGGGAATTTTGGTACCTACTATGGCAGAGGAATTCGGACAAGGTGCGTTCAATTAAGTCGCCCTGACAACAAGACCAAATTGCGAAAACGAGGTCAACCCGCTTCTACAAATCGAAAGGAGACTGCGAGCATACCTAGGGCCACAGCATCTTGGTCTTCTTATCTAGCAATTTGTAAGTTGAGGAACTAACCGGAAGGTGTTGTCGAGGTGTATCAATTTCGACTAGTTTGTTGTTGGACTGGTAGCCACTCAATGCATGATGAATGAAAGAAGATTTGTGATTTATTCAAACAATAATAAATAGTAATATATCCAAAAGGCTTTCTTCATTCAGGTCTGGTTGCGATTTTTACTCTGCACTTGGCACTTTCGACGAGATTCCCACCACAGACAAACAGGTCAAGACGTAAACACATTGACTTTTGAGCCACTTAACTCTATCCTCGTACTTTACAGGGATCAGCCTATTAATAGTTTTTTACAAAAGAGGATTGTTGCAAGCTGCATAAAACACCAGATTAGCGAGTCTAACGGCAAAAAATGGTTGTTTATCGAATCACAAGTTACTACAAAATTGTGTGAATTGCGGCCCACTTTTCCATTGGGTTTTGGTTTCAGTGGATGTTTAACCGCCAGGATATGTCTAGCACGAATGCCATGAAAGGTCAAAAACTATGCACAATAAACTATATACAAAATATGGGAATTCAAATAGGATAACATTTGTTCGTAATCAAAAGGTTTTAGATTAAAGAGTACCGAGTGTAAGACTTACCTGGTGGGCTGTAACGACATAAATTGTTGGAATGGTGAGAGGCCTTCCAGACGTTTTCGAGGCATTGGATGAATGAAATATAGTTTTAATGTCATGATTTTCCAGAGAGGAGCGCTGAAACAATAGGATACGACGAGGAAATGAGATTGAAGATGCGGATACTTGAAAACTTTCTTCATGGGACCCTTTAGCTGGTTGGCTTTGTTCATTTCGCCTCAAATATGCCCCTTTGTCGACTGAATAATTTACCACATCACCACTGACGGGAGAAGGAATATCCTCAAATCCCCCCAGATCCAAAAGACGGGAAGGGCCGCAGACAACTTGCATGGTCATGCCTTGCTGTAGATTAACTAGGGCAAGTGAGTTAGCGCAGATTTGGTCGTCTGAAGAGTCGAAGAACAAGCTACCGGTCTTCCGCTCAAACTAAAAGGTGGCGTAGACAATCATAAAATACGATATGGTAAAGGCTTTAAGTTGAATAAACGGCCGTAATTGATGTTACGTAAAGGAAAATAATTCACAAACATACTTGTATCTCAAAACGCAACCGAGAATGAGTTTATAGGGCACCTTATGTGTTGTAGAAAAAAAGGTTTTCGAAGAATCCTTTAATAAATTCGTGTTGAGTACCCTTCATTTCGTTTGAAGAGGTGAGTGAAAGACCACTCTAAAACCAGCTTTTCTACATATCTACAGTTAATATGCGGGTGCCAAACTTTCTGAGGTTCATCACTTTACACTAAGACAAATAAAGCGCTGGCCAGGTAAATTAATCATACTCTGTTTTTGAAATTATGTTCATCATCTAAATTATTCCCAAATTGTGTAGTATTGATAAACCGAATATTCCTAGTAGAACTAAGCAAGTCCTTCTGAGAGAATCCCAGGAATTAGTTATTTTTAGAATTCAAGAAAATATTATAAAATGACATTTTTTGATTAGGAGGAAAACTAGATTACGGCAATCACTGTCGGAAGCTTTTAGCTCAGACGACTTTCTTAAGTTAGAAACATTGATAGACAAGTTATATGACTGAATATTTACACAGGTTATGATAAACCATAATAAAAAGCTTAGGAATATGGTCATAGGAATTAAGACGAGGAGTTATCTGGGGAAATTTAAGGTAGATTTAAAGGAACGGAGTAAAGTAGGAGAGAAAGTGGTAAATTTGTCCAAAATAGCATTGGACATTAGCGCAGAGAATGCTCTTTCTAAATGTTTGAACTTTGCGTTGCCAAACAGAAATGATAGCAAAGAGGAAATATTGGTAGAACTCATAGGTTTTATCGACCGTTTATCTGAAGAGACTTGGAATGATATCAAGCTGCAGATCGCCCCTTTAATTGATAGCCATGTAGAGATCACAAAGGAATAATAGAATAAACAGCATCATTAAAATTAAGATACCAGGAACAAATAGTGTTAAGGGCGGACAAGGGAGGAGCAGTGATGGTCATGGATAAGGCTAGTTAAGTAGAAAAGATGATACAGGCACAAGATGATAAACTAACGTGCACAATTATCAATAAGGAACCTACAGGAACCCTTAAGTATACACTAAGGAGTTGCCTGCAAAATTCAGTAATAAAGGGGAGAATAAGAGAAGTGGAATATCAAAACACAGGCTCCCAAATGCATATGCTCTGCCCAAGATACATAAGGAAGAAATCTCACTCAGAAGTATCACAAATAATAAGTGTACCATGATGCATAAAACATTACGACATATCTCTCAGTAAAGAAAGCGGGTATCTGAGGCATGACATTTTCAATAAAGAACTTTTATGAATTCGTCAAGTTAGCTGATGAACAGAGAATAAAAGGTGGAGATTTTCTTATTCTTTTTAATGTAGAGTCGATGTACATCAACATTCCTGTAAGCCGAGCTGTTCAGGCTTTAGAATTAACTTTCTACCGAAACTAGGATACTCTGAGAAAGACGACTTTAGGTAAGGAGTCAATAATGAGGTTGACGAATTTAGTGATGAGCTGTACATATTTCACTTTCAATAGTAAACTGTACAAACAAACGCAAGGCTTAGATATGGGATCATGTTTGTAACCAATTTTAGCAAATAACTACATGGTTCAATTAGAAAGTCGTCTAATACAATAAGCACTTTTAGTTCCTGAATAATGGATTGGGTACATGGATGAGTACTTTGCCATAGGGCAACATGGCAAAGATAGCCCAGGATGACTTCTAAAGTTGATGAATGGAATCGATGGGGATTTCAAGTCCACTAAGTAACTATAAAATAATGGTAGTTTAACTTTTCTAGATGTCTTAGTCGGTACAGAGGGAAGCAAACTGGGTAAGGATGTGTATAGGAAACTCATAAATGCGGGGTTCCTTCTGAATTTCTTTTCAATTTAGACTTATGTGGCTAAAGTAGTAACTATGAAATCAATGAAAATAGGGAGCCTGCATCTTGCAGATGTTAACCATCGGGAGCAGGAAATGAAAATAACAAGGTAAAGTTTATTTGAACATGATTACCCATTATGATTAATTGAGAATTGCTTAAAAATACTAGCGAATAGGCTGGAGGGAAAGATCTATTTGGGGCAAGATAGGCAGCTGGACCACTCGACTAATGTACTGATGTTACCGTCGTGCCAACTTTCGAAAAATATAAGTAAACTACTGAGGAAGTGGGATATCAGAGCAATTTATAAAGAGAACATAACACTTTT